TAAGTTTGGTAGGATGTCGACTTCTATGCCTATTAAGTTCTTTTTTTTTCTCGTATCCACTGAACAGGAAAAAAGAGTAAGAGTTCACTGAGCTGAGCTTAGATTTACAGGAAATGTAACCAGACAACTGACATTTGACTTCATCTTCACTGCCGAAATTTTAGCTCTTTAGGATGAAAATTCGATCAAGAGCACTTGGTTGTCTTGTGAGGTTAAACACACCAGCAAAATTGTGACAAATTAGAGTAAACTGTACTCTGGAGATTAATCATTTAAGTTATTGAACACAAATGTCTTCACCCTTTAGACTGTGACAAAAAAGATATGCGCTCTGCATACAAGCTGCTCTGTAAGCCAAATAGGGCCAAACACTGCGAGTCAGAGTGTGGGAAGTCATGAGTGTGTCACCAAGAATGTCAACATATTTTTCTGAAGAGGAGGATGTGACCACTCGGAGAGAGTACAGTGAACAGAGCGGGGCTCGGGGTCATTATTCCTGCCTGTTCAACTCCACAAGGGAATAAAACTTATTTCACCTTTTATTAAGCCCTCATATTCTATTGACGACATTCTTTTACTGTTACAGACTCATCTATTCAAAGTTACTAAAGGTTATTCCACCAAATTTGGTAATTCAAGTGCCATTTTTAACATTACACAAAAGCAATTACTTCATTGTCAAGAAAACTCTGCAGGTCTCTCAAAAATGTTCTCTATTTAGCAACCAACCACTATTTTAAAGTATTATATTCAGTAGCTAGTACTACAGTTTACATGACAGCAGAGCTTTTCTGTGGAAAGGGATGCCCTATACATTTTATTTCTGGGATATGATGATGAAAACCAAATGGCACCCAAACCATCTTTGATCTGGCGATGTCAACCATCATCTGTGCTTATGCATTCCTATATAGTAAATGATTGTCAGACGTACAAAGCACACACACTGGCTGAGTGCTGTTTATTTAGAGAGTATATTAGTGTGGGCTTTTCTCTGTCTACGTATTCAAGCCCGTGAGTCTATTTGCTTTTGTGTCTTTCATGTGGGCGTGTATTTGCCTGCGTGCGTGTTTTGCCCATTCCCTGACCACATGTCCTCGACAGTCCCTGACATCTGGTGACCATACCTCTGCTTACGCTCTCTGACTGTACTTCGCCAACCATGGGAACCATGCCGCTGTGTAGGCTGCTCCTGTATGTGTGTGTGTCTGTGTGTGCGACAGAGGGAGAGAAATGACTTCAGATTTGGTGTATATATTTTCACAGCCTGTGTGCAGTTTAATAATATGTTCTGATAGTCTGCTATAGTCATATAGCAGTTTTGCACCTTTCTTTTCAGGGGTTTCTTGTTTTTCTTTGTTTCTGAAAAGAGCAGGTCCAAATGTAGCTTTTATGTGCTCCATCTTGGGTCCATTTGGTAATTTCCTGGCACCAAATGAACATGTTCGCACCACAGTTGGAAAAGAGGCACACCTGAGGTTGTGGGTTTGCTGAATAGACAGTGCAGGGTAATTTTGGTGCACACTTTGGCACAAAATTGCATTTGCTCCTGCTCAAAGTACTTCTTATCCTATCACAAACACAGACGCCAGGTTTTAATAGCTTTAGTTGGCAGGCACATACACAGAGACATCCAGACTCACTCAAGTGTGGTCTACTTTCCATTTCTTAGACATTATTTTCATCTGCTAAATATTACCAAGGAAAATTTGTTATATAATACCATTGAGTTCAGTTAAATGTTGCTATAAATGTTGTGATAAGTGAGCATCCTTCAGATGCGCTCTCCTCCCAAAAACAATCCCACATGTCATTAGTTCAAGCTGTTATTATAGCCTCTAATTATGTTTTTATAGCATAAATTAACCCGTGAATAATTGCATTTAAAATTTGCACCAGTATGAGCACGCTCAGATGGAGCAACCAAGTAATTTAAGAAAATTGAGCTACCTCTCATTTTGCAAAATTACATATTGTTGCACAAAGTATGAACTTTTCCTAATTCTAACCAGTGTGGTTGACAACAACAAAAAGCAAATGAAAATAAAAAGTCAAAGGTTTGTGTGCTTATAACTAGAGCAGACTTCTTCTTTTTCTTTCTTTTTTTTGGGCACACACTGAAAACATTCCTTGATAACATCTCAAAAACAGATGTCTGATAAATTATGTAGAAGACTTGGTGATACCCCTTCAAGGATCAAGGTGGTTTGTGCGCTTTAGTCTACCCATGAGTGTAGCTATGTTGTCAGAGGCAACTGGCACCTGGTAGGGTCTCACAAGGCAAGGGACTTCTAGGGGAAAATGGATACAAGGGTCAAATCTCTTAGCTGACTCAGGTGGCCAGGTCTTCATTCACGGGGCTCAGCCCAAATGAGACACATATGATTGGATTGGATAGGCCACTAAAGGGACTAAAGGGGGTGTTTGTTAAAGTGCTTATAAGGCCTAGAAGGTAATCTTGCTGTTGGGGAATGTTTTCTGGCTGTCATTTGCACTGACAGAGTCTAGAAGAAATCTTCTTTGAGTCTCTGGTGGTGTGCTTTACGGTGGCCCTCTCGGGAACAGCATGCCTGGTCGCAGTGGAGTTTTGTTACTAGATTTCTGTGCTGATTACAGTAACAAACACCATGTTCAAGTGTAAAGGTGTTCATAAGTACACCTGGCAGCATGCTGGAGATCCATGATCGATGATTAGAAACTTTATCAGATCTGCAAAAAGGCCAGTCAGCTGTCAGCTGGTCAATACATGTTGGTGAGTTGGATCAGGTGGCAGGGAGGCCTCTGCCCTTAAACTTTATGTTTAGGCAGCCCCCAGTAACACGTTGTGCACAAACAAGGAGGTGCATGTAGAATCTGCCAGTAACAGTTTTATATTACTCCCTGGCATGATTTACCAGGACAATTTTATTTGAGTATTTCTGTTTGGAAAATTTATGTTTGTGCCCAAAGTGTTTGTGTGCCCTGTACAGGAAAAATAAAGCCCGGGATCTCATTTCCACCCACGTTAGAAACTCTTAGGCAGAGAAAATGATGGGGAGGTGCTGATTTTGATGCAGAGCAGTCACAGGGTCTTTAAAGTAACAGAATTGTATTTTTTACGTGCTGAAACATCACAAGCAACATCAACAAGTCCCCCAACCTTTTCATTTACCTTGTTTCTATATTGACTCTTTTATTTCTGTTTTTACCTGTTTCCTGATAACATCTATTGAATTCTCCTCTGCTCTATTTTTATTCCATTGTATTCAGCTCCGTATTCCCTTCTCCTCTTTTTTTCTATTCTGCATCAGTCTTCACTTACTTTGTCTGAGAAATGGTCCAAGGTTCATTCATATTTGAGGGGTTTCCCCTTATGGCTATATTTAGTCAACAGGAAACGTCCCAGAAATCCTCACTCTGCTCCCACTGAGTAGTGAGTGGGAGAGATGAAGCCACATACACATCCACATTGTCTCATGCTTGTCATCCCCAAGCAGGCTTATACTGGGACCTGCTTTGTTTGTACATTTCCATGCATTTATGTGCATGCTTTAATCGTTCTAGTTTTTTGTGTGTATTTTCTTTGCTTTCAGCTTAAAACCTTCCACTCACCATGCACCCACCTCCTCTCCCACCCATTATTTATCCTTTATCTCCACATAAAGGAATGTTCTTCCCACCCCAAGTTCAATGACAGTGCCACGTGGAGTAATCAAGGCCAAATCTCTGCTCTTTATATAGCTTGTGAGCACTAACCCTTCTCAAACCTCAATAAGCTTTCACCTCTAACCTCTCTAATACTTTCCTTCCTTCCCATGTATGCCCCTTGGACCATATTTCTACCCATGTCTTCATAAGGAGACATTTAATTGCACATATGTACAGTATGCGGACAGCGTACAGTCAGTGTAGTGGAATTTATTTTTATTTTTTTCAGAAAAACCAATTACTATGAATAAAATCTGGCTTTACTGGAGCATCCGTGACAGTACTCGACCAGTAAACTCTACCACACCTTATCATTATTAAATTGAGATCGACAGTGTATCGCATTTCAGTCTCTGCTCACTTCTAAACTGAATTTGTTTAAACCTTAATCTCTCCATTAAACTTGTCCCAAAGGGATCTTTGTCTTGCAGATTGAAATGCACCATTAAAATGTAAACACATTTAATCAATAAAACAATTGTATTCTTATGCCTAGGCGCTGCTGAAAGCTGTCTCTGAAGGCATTATGTTTTCCAGTTGTTCATCCATTTATCCCTCAGATCTCACATCTCACAGACTACTTGTGGGAATTTTGGAAACTTAGCACGAACATTGCCTCGAAGTCCAAGATGAATTTTGAATTTTGTGGCCAAAAGGTCAAAATTTCACAATAGATGTTTTAGGACATAAGTCAAAAATTCAGACACAATCCATCCATCTTCTTGATCAGTTATCCAATTCAGGGTCATGAGGGGGATGGAGTCTATCTCAGCCGTTATAGGGTTTAAGGACAGGTTGCCAGTCTATCACAGGACTAACACATAGAGGCAGACAATTAAATGTATAGATTTCTGTAAAATGTATAAAAGGACAGGATCAGAAATTAGTATATCAGAGGGACAGCTCAGGTTGAGCAGTCTGGGGGCAAAGTTAGAGAGGTAAGGCAGAGATGGTTTGGACATGTGGCAAGGAGAGAGAATGGATATACTGGACAAAGGATTTTGAATATGGAGTTTCCGGGCAGGAGTAAAAGAGGAAGACCACAAAGAAGATGTAGTGAATGAGGACAAGCAGAGGGTTGGTGTGGCATAGGAAGAGGTTAGAGACAGGAGATGGAGGAAGATGATCTACTGTGGAAAAGCAGCTGAAAGAGGAAGAGGAAGTCAAGCATCATACTCTGACATCATTACTTTTATTCTTTTCAGGCAATATTAAATGCTACAAACTCAAGACTCAACTTTACAACAGTAACACACCAGATTTCAAATGACAGGCTCTTTGATTTTTAACTCTTACATTTCTTTGTCTCACAGGAGAAACGGAAGCGGCAAACTGAAATTGAAGATAAAAGAAGTCAGCTCGATGACCTGCTGCTGCAGCTGCAACATGTCAAGGTATGTTGTGTATTTATGATAGATATGTTGGGTACATATGATACATATGTATAAGTATTATTTACAGTTCAAGTAACGATTAAATGCCCTGTTGTTTTTATATTAGAGCAATAAAACGTCATCGCCTGTCTATGTGCATATGTGCAAAGAAATATCACCCTGGACATGCTCAGTAGCTGTTTATCCATCTTTGCATAATTCAGTTATAACACTTATGGTACCACTGTATGGGCTAAGTTTGAAAATTATATATTTATTAACATTTTTAAAGACAACAGACAGAGAAATACCAACATTCACTCAGTTGAACTTGGATGTCTGATAAAAGTCCTGGATTGTGATGTACTTACAGACTTTTCTGCTTACTCGTGTTACACAGAGCTATTCATTACTTGAATGCACTGCGTACAGCTGAGCTAAAACAGTGTGAGCTTCTGCATGTGAGAGATACATTTTTGACCGAGGTACTGGTTGATTAAAATTAGGTCAGCGTAAAGGTGAAGGGAAGGTGGAGAGTGCAGATTAGGGTTAGTAGTTCACAGGGGAATGACGTGAGTCATGATGCTCTTATGAGTTATTGCTCTATCCTCTTTCTTCATCTAGATATAACCTCGACCCTTGAGAGATAGATCGATTTGACAGCTTCCTTAACTGTTTTGTCTCATTTCAGCATGCTGCTTTTCCACATGCAAGTGTGTTTAATTACTCATGAGCATGTGCGAGTGTGTTTGTCAGTTTTTGGCTGAGATGTTAGTGATTCCACCTCAGTATCTCCTGGTGTGCAGGCCTATTAGAACAAGAGTTTGCCTTGGCTAAGCAGGCCCTGGCCTGGCTGTTTTCTTCTTTACAGAAAAACACTCAAATCCAAACACACAAATATATCCCCTCATAGTTAATGCCAGCCACTACCGGTAAGCCAAGATTTTTGTTTCAAGTAAACACAGATTTGATGTCCAAATGAAATGTAGGACAGAGGACACAAGCTGCTGACACATTATGAGTTTATAAAATGAGCAGCTTCCAGGCATCTGTAATTTATGCGGACTTCTTCTTTCAGCTACTAAAGAATTATTTGACCTTGTACACAAAACTCACCCAACCAAACCACTGTCAGGTGGAGACACAACAGACTGAGGCATCCCATAATTTTCGAGCTTTGACACACGATGTGACGCTGTTTAAACTATATGTCACTGGACTTTTATTTAAGTGTCGTCACTGTGTTTAGAAAATGTGTGCATGAGCAACACAAGTCAAATATGGTGCTGCTCTGGTGATGTATAATTGGTTTAACTTCAAAAGACAATATTAGGAAAATCCCACAGCCATAGCTGCTGCAGAGTTGCAGGGTGGTTAAGAGAATAGCTGTGGGTACTCATTAAACTACATAAATATCTATGGGAACCAGTTTTAATATTTGCAATAAAAATGCATTCCATTCGTTAACTAGAGCCATTAAACACACTTGGCATGAATGAATCCTTTATCAAATAAGTCTGATTCCACATACTAGTGTTTTCCACCATTTAACACCCAGTTATGGGAACATGGGCAAAACAAAAACATTGATTCAAGACATGTGCACTTTCATTAAAGCATGCAGTGCAGTTCAGCCATTAATTGGGGTTTACAGAAACTCGTATATTTGGTTTTGAGCCCCCTGAAGAGTCGAGTTTTCCAGTTAGGGCTCATCTGCAAAGGGTGTTTATCATTCTAAGCATATGCATATTTTATACGTAACATTTTTTAGTGTGTGTGTTGGCTTTGAAAGTGCTGATGAATCAGTGCTTCTTTCTAATGTCTGTTTTCTTATTTGACCCGATCTGGGTTATTCTTCACTGAAAGTAATAATCATAACAAATTACTCATGACACAAACTGCTGACATTTCAGACTACTGCAATGACTGCTATTTAGACTAATAGCCACTGTTGTTTTATCAGTGCTGCACTGATGTGCTACAGTGCTACACTTACCAACTTTTCAGTGGCACTTCAGCTAAGTTTGAATTAGTCTTCTTGCAAATGACAAAACTTAACTTTGAAAACATCCATGTTGATGCCACCTATTGGTTTCTGCGCTTCTGCTTTGAAGCCTCAGATTCTGGCATCCATCCTTGTTTTGTGAACTCTGAAAATTAAGGAAAGAAATCCCTGTTCAGCTGCGGTGAAAGCTTGGTTTACATTTCTAACAGTCAAACTTAATCACGGATGGAGTTGGACTCCACCAAAGGGTCTTTTGTCCCTAACTCTGCTTATAATTTGTATGGACAGAATTTCTCGGCACAGCTAAGTGTTGAAGGGTGTTCTCAGGTGGTCTCGGAGCTCGACTCTTTTTGCTGATGATGTGATTTTGTTGGCGTTATCGAGCAATGACCTCCAGCTTATATTGGAGTAGTTTGCAGCCAAGAGTCGAGCTACTTGGATTAAAGTTGGTACCAAGTCTGAAGTTCTCAGCCAAGAAAAGGTAAAGTGCCCACTCAAGTTTCCATCCAAAGTGGCGGCATTTAAGTGTCTTAAACGTGTTCACAGGTGAGTGGTCAGTGTAGTGGGACACTGACAGGGCGATTAATGTGGCATCTGCAGTGATGTAGACAAGTTTGTTAAGGTGAAGAGAGAGCTGAGCAGGAAAGTGAAGTTGTCAATTTCTTGGTCAATCTATTTTTCCACCATTCCCAATCTTCATGACCTGTGGGTATTGACCATAGAAATTAGATTTTGGTTACAGGCAGCGGAAATGAGCTCCCTCCAAAGGACACATGGGCTCTCCCTTAGAGATTAGGGGAGAAGCTCCTTCATCTGAGGTGGTTCAGGCATCTGTCCCTTCAGTGCCACCTAGGTGAAGTGTCTCGTCTGGCGTGGAAACACCTTGGCCTCCTCTGGTTAGACTGCTGCCCCTAATAAGCAATTGATAATGCATGGATGGATGGCCATTGCCATGTTATGCAAAATGCTATATTATTTGTTTAACACGAACAGATGTGGTGCATAAATCGGTTAATTCGTGTCATTTTAAATGCTCCAAAAGACACTAATACAATAAGCATAACTTCAAGTCAATGGCTTGATTACCTTACAAGTCTTATGGATGAACTCACATTTGGAGCCAGCCATGGTTGTGATAAGTTTGGATTCATTCAAAAGTCATTACAACTCAACTATCCTTCTTATGCCCCCTAAAGATAGATGAAAAACCAAGAGAGGTCAGAATGGATCTTAATCTGAATATGTTTGCTCTATCTGCAGAATCAAGCCCCCACTTATCTTTAATGATCTGTGTACTTTTCTTTCATACAACACAAGTAGGCCTGAACTCCAGATGTAATCAGCATCTGGTCACACAGTTCCATTTAATGGCCATTACCTCTAAGTGCCACGCTGCCAGGCAGCATGAAGCAGGCTTTGTTGAGCGCTCTCTGGAGACCCAGTGGCTTGGGAGAGGAAACGGGAACTAGAGCCCAGAGATTTGATAAGGACCTCTGGGCTGCATGATTCAAGCTTCTCAATGGAGGCGATGATATGAGTCTGGAACTTTGTAAACATCGGCATGACTTCAGAGCAAAGTTTAACCTTGGCCATGAATTCTCTTTTTGAAGCAGTGTCTCCATCTGGGCGTTACATATTTTGATAAATTGGTTATTTCACTTTCTGATGACAAGCACAGACATTCATAACAGCCTGAAACCCTCCCTTTAATAGCCGAGTTCAGAGTGGTTGTGTGTCACAGCTCAACAGGAAATGGAAAGTCTGTTAAACAGCATGAGAGAGAAGCAAAGAGCCGTCTGGTTCTCAGGGGAAACAAGTTATTCACCAATGCTTTTTGATAGCTGAAATGCTACGGAAAGCTGTTATATATATATTATGGTATTGATAAAACTCCACAGTGCTGGTAAGAGGTCAGGCACAAATATAGCCAACCATGCTCCTCTGAATAAGTGATGGTTTCTAAATCATATAGAGAATACCGCTGTGATCTCGATGTGGAATGTGGAATTTGCTTAATGAACTTGAAACTAGCTGTTTACTTTAGAAGTTCACTAATGTTTGTGATGGAAAACTGCAGTGCAAGAAAATCAAACATGGATGGGAAAATTTAGCAGAACATAGTTTTTAAATTGTTCGGTTTAACTGATAACCAGGTTGTGCAACTGCCTTTCTAAATATTTCTGTCATACACTCACCAGACACAGTGCAACTTGCTAGCACCTTATGAACCACTTTTCCCCCCTTCAGAACTCTTTATTGCACACATTTAACAAGGTGCTGGAAACACTGAGATTGAGATCTGGTGACTGTGGAGGCTATTTGAGTACAGTGAACTCATTGTCATGTTCAAGAAACCTGTTTTAGATGATTTGAGCTTTGCAGCATGCTATACACTGTTGTCATAAAGGGATGGATGAAGTCAGCAGCAACACTCAGGTATGCTATGGTGTTTAAAAGAAGCTCAGTTGGTACTAAAGTTACATTTAGTTCAATTCAATTGTTTTATATGGCGCAAAATAACAACAAAGGCTGATTCAAGGTGCTTAGAGCCAAAAGTGTGCTAATAAAAACACCTCTACACAGCAGCCTGAATTGTTGATACAAGGCAGGATGGATCCATGATTTCATGACCTCACCACCTGAATGATGCAGCCAAGATCATGAGACCAGGCAACATTTTTCCAATCGTCTGTTGTTCAATCTTAGTGAGCCCGTGAAATTGTAGCCTGTTCTGAGCTGAAAGACGGTGCACACTGTGCAGCTTTCTGCTGTCCATCCCCTTCAAAATTCTGCATGTTGTGCTTTCAGAGATGCTCTGCATATACAATTTGGCCATTATCATTTGACATTTGCCATCGACAAGGCTTTTTTTCTTTATTGGACCATGTTCTATAAACCCAGAGATCTTTGTGCAGGAAGATTCCAGCAGATCAGCACTTTCTGAAATACTCAGGCCAGCCTGTATGGCTCCAACAAACATGCCACTTTCAAAGTCACTTAAATCACCTTTTTCCCCATTCTTATGCTCAGTTTGAAACGCTGCAGGTCATTGTGACCATGATTATACATGCTTACATGCACTGACTTGCCACCATGTGAGTTTCTAAATATTTAATTAGGTGTGTGTGAGTGTGTGTGTTTGTGTCTGTGTGTGTGCGTGCACGGTGGGGGGAGTCACACGGGTAATTTTCAGCTCTATGACCTCCAGCCAAGCAACAGTTTGACAGTAAACAGCTAAAAGGTGAATCAGAGTGTTCCCGCTCCACTCTGTTGTGGTAACAAAGCAAAGCTCCAGACAGAAACGGAGACATTAATGGCGTAAACAGAGCTCTGGCATTATCTATAAAACATTAAAGAAATCCAGAGCCTGTGTGATGAGAAGATTGGCACCCTGGTTGATTTTCTGTGTTTAATACTGCAAGAACCAGACAAACAAACCTGGGGTTTAATGTGGGGCTTAATCTATATTGTTTAGTCCATGAAATGTAAACACGGGGCTACAGGGACCACATGCAGTATATGGAATTTTTGTGTGCCCGGATATTTCTCTGGAACAAATCTGGAGACAGAAATCGAGACGCAATAAAATACCATAAAACACAGAACAATGTTGTTGGTTTTGTTATTATAAGGCATAGCGAAACAAGAAGTGTTTCTTTAGCTTATTAGTATCTTACAAATCATTTAAACAGAAAGAGAGAGACAGTAGAAAATCTGCTTCATATTTTATCCCTGTTTAGTCTAATTTGAGAAATGTTTGTGCACCAAAATACCATCTGTCTCTTCACACAGCAGTAAAATGATCAAAGGAAAATTTTTCACTAAACTGCTTGTTTAGTAAAACCTAATAGAAAAGCACCACGCTCACAGTGAATGTACTTAAATTTCTTTCCTTTTTTTGGAATTCGAGAAAAAATAAATTTGTTATAGTTCACAGAAAAAAACACCCTTAGTTGAAGAAAACAACCTTGACTGTACATGATGATATTTAGCCGACAAAGTGCTTTTATAACGCATGTTCCTAAGAAAATAACGTTGTTTACATCACGGAGAATGGTTGCTGTAGCTCTCTTGGGCTTGTGGGATTCGCCTTTAACAAAGAGTAGTTTCCTACGAGTAGCAGCTGAGTTCAGAGTTCCTGTGTTACATAAAAACTCCTACATGTTTGGTTATTTGTTCTAGCTGTGCTCGGCAGTGATTAGAGGAATCTAGCCCCCGTAACGGTGCTCCGGTGGCAGTTAACAGCATGTTTAACAAAAACACACTATCACAAAGATGCTGATGTAGTGTTTGATGTAGTCTGCTGATCTCCACAATCTGAACAGGTCGACAACCTTTTCTGCTCTAAACATTCTCATTTGGTCATTTGAGAAGACTCTATGCACCATTAGACCAAGTGTATCCAAATAGTAAAGTAGGAGTGTACCATAAAGGCCTTATCAGTTAACAGGCTTTCAATGTGGCTGACATTTATTAGAGCTAACAGTTACTCACTGGATTGATTTGACAGACAAATAATCACAACCTTTTTGTCAATTATTAATTGATTCATTGCCTGGTCAAATAAAGCACTCTGGCATGCTTTATTACATTTTATTTATTACATTTCTTTCTTGTCAGTTCTAGAGTCTAGTGAAAAAAATGCATCTGTGCTTCTAGTTTTTAAACCTTTGCATCTCTATTTCCCACCAACCTCTGTTTATATGCTAAGCCAACCAGCTGTGGAGTCATGGCATCGTGATCTTCTGATCAAACAGGAAAATAGGTTAATCTATTCCAAAAGCAGTGGTTAAACTTGTGTGAACTTATGTCAGAACAACTCAGATTGATTGTTACGTATTGGCAGCCTGTCTGTTCTTGTAAATTAGATGGGGATTATCTGCAAACCTTAAGTCTGTGAGTGATTGCACCCTGGTGGGTCATTGCTGGGTCTCCTTCCACCAGTGGTCATCCAGAGGTTGAGAGTATCATATGCTCAGCCTTGTGGACAGCCACTTGCAATTAGTTGCAGGCAGCAAAACAAAATTCAATACAATTACCAGTCTACCACTGATTTGTTTCTAGTCACAAGAAGGTTCCCATTCTATTTGTACTCTAGAGTGACTGAGCCATTGCGTGAACTGAAACCAGCATTTCTTTGTGTCCGCAGTCCAAAGCTATGCGTGAGCGGTGGCTGCTCCAGGGCATGGGAGTGGAAGAAGAGGAGGCACGGCGGAAACAGCTGGAACAAGATGAAGAGCAAGTGAAGAGGCTGGAAGACATGATACACAGGTACAACACATGCAGTTACGAGGCTTGGGTTTAGTTTGCTCTTTATGGGCATTTGGGCAGTGCTGCTGATTATCTTCTGTTGTGGTTAGCGTACAGTGCAGGACATAATACATTTGAAGTGGGATTAAACAAAAGGCAGAGCTGATATTAAACAGATGTAAGCAGCTGATTAGATTAATATTAACAAAAGTTGTCACATCCATTTTTTTAATACCGAGCATTTGTTTTTGTTGTTGGCACTCTGCAGCCAATTTGACATATTTCCAAGAATATAAGTTTTATTATCCCTTTTGCTTCTAGTCTTATATGTAGTCATCAAATAAGGGCTTTTTTTTTTTTTTTACATCTAATTCACAAAGAACACACTGGACATGCAAAAAAAAAAGGGACATAGGAGGAAGAGAGTGAGATACATTTAAAGAATCAAAATAGAGTGATGTGACTCTTTTTGTGCTTCCTGTCTCTGTGTCTCCGGGAGGAGCTTCCTGATTCCCATCAAGTATAGCTGTGAGATAGTCACTTATTCCCCAGTGAAGTTGGGGGCATGAGATCATGAATAAAGTCCCAGCCAGTTCTTGCTATTGTGATTCTGGGTGTGAGATTGGGGTTGGGCTGCAGCTTTTCTTTCCTGAGACAGACAGAAAGCAGCAGAAAGCAGAGGCTTTGTCTGATTTCTAGTACTGCTTAATAGTAATGACGTAGACGCTGGTGTGCAATAAAATGAAACTGCACAAAATAGACGAATGAGGTCTTTTCATTCTGGATACAAATTAAAAATGTAAAAAATATGTCCACATGAAATGGCCTTAAAATAATGTTGATATCCCCATATTTGGTGGATATCATATAATAATGTATGCATGCTCAATGGTACAGAATTCTTAGTGAGAAGAAAATAGGGGGTTCTCCTCTTTTATTAGGGAAGAGAAACAGGAAGAAGCATGAAGCAGTGGAAACTGTTAATGTTGTATTTGGGAAAAAAGAAAAAGAAGAGGAAAAAATATTCACAAAATATTCTGCCAACAAAAACTATCATGGATTCATAAAGAGTAAAGCTTAGCAGCATAGCAGGATAATGGCCTGTAAAAACATATCAGTTAAAATGCAGTGGAGAGTCGTTGTCTCGTAGCTCGTGTATAGGGGTGAGTGAGATCGGAGCACGCTCCGAAAATCAGGCTTGAGCAAAGGCTCTGGGTGAATTTGGCATCAATGAGTGAGGCTCACTCCACCACCTCATTTATCAAATCTCTGTATGAAAGAGACTCTGTTAGCTACCGTAGGTTATCACTGCTGCCGAAATAACATCAACATGAAGCGTTGTCACGAACTCCAGGATAACATTTGCTCTTCTATAAAGAGAACAGCCGTGAATGGTCACAGAGACAGCTTTGTAGGCCAGAGTACAGTTGTGATGGTGAAGCTGCCTCACGTGAATCACTTCATTCAGCTGCAGCTGAATAGAGTTGCTGTCTGATTTTTATTTTTTTTTAATATTGCAGTTGTGGTTTTAATTAGTTACAAAAGCAATTAAACTGTAAAGATTATTGTCTGCAGTCTGGTTTCACTCTCCTACAGTCCAGCCTTTTGAGCTAAATCAACTCCAGCTTTATTTATCTCTGCAACATGAAAACAAAGTGTTGCACAGCAATCACAAGTGACAGTCAAACTCTCTAGACAACTGTGTGGCATTGGAGATTTTTTTGAATTCTGCATTCTCAAATCCTAAAAATACACACTGAGTTAGAACAACCGCAGTTAGCTCCAATAACAGCAACAGTGGGCCAGAAAGTCCTGAAGGCCATACTTTTCTTGATTCCCAGAAAGTTTTGGAGTAAATGTAGAAGTTGGTCAATGCCTTGTTGTCTTGCATACTAATCCTTTGTTTCACAAGGTAGACGGAGACAGACAGACAGA